TAGCTACTTGCAAGATAAAATTTATACTTTATTATTAAACGCAAATACAATATCTTATGAATTACATTTCATTACTGAAATCCATCTAAAAAATTTTGTAATTCCTTTTTTTCAAGCCTATTTGATCTATAAGTGAATTCTTGAATTCCAACTCCACAGATTTTACGAGTTCCCGTTGAACAAACACACCCAATAGCATATCTCGTCTTGTCATAGGATTCTGGATCTGTATGACCAATATAATATTTTGTTTCAAATATTTGATTGATTGCCTCTTCGACTAAGCTCATGATTACTTGATTTTTTTTATCAGGATCATATCGTTTGAATTCAAAGTAGTAAATTATATTCCGCGTTTCTATCCACATATCGGTTCGACCTTCACTTGTAGCATCTTCACTTCGAAATGGCAGTCCGATATAACGAACTAACATATGAATGTGTGAATGGTAATATCCTTCGTATTTTCCTGCATGTTGGCTTTCAAAATAGGGAATGGAGGCTAAATCGTTATTAAACTCTTTCAAAAATGCTATTATTTTATCATCCTTAAGAAGTTTTGCGAGTAGTCCAATTCGTTTGCATGCAATTTCTATTGAAGTCTTATATAAACTAGCCCAGAGCTCGCTCATAAGGGACTCTTTCACTTCGGCATTTGGAATCTCGAGAACCAAACATTGTTCACCATCATCATCTGTTTTCTGTTGCTTAATAGTCAAATAACCAGTTTGGAATAGTAATGACACGGGAAGATCGGATGATTTTTGTATGTCGTCAACATCAACAGGTACAATTAATCTTTTTTTTATTGTGATTTCATCTACGATATTCTTGACATGTTCCATATTAATCAATCTAGCTAAAAATTTGGTTTTCCCTTTTTGAATCCAAAAGTTTTCATATTCAAAATTCTCAAAAAAACTGCAAATGCTATATGGGTTATATACTTTAATGTTGCCGTCCCAGGAATAACCATTGTATTTTTTCTGAAGTTTATTCATAACATCTTGCACATCATTATAGCGATCTGATTTGCCGAGATTTAATAGTTTGTCTCCAAACACTTTTGTTATCTCATCACTTGTGAAACCGTATGCCCCAGATAATTCATTACTTAATGTCACGTCCTTAAGGTTATTTAATCCTGAAAATAAACCTAAATGTGCAAACATTGTTACACCCGTAACGAGAAGTAATTTAACTTTACTTTGCAGTGCCTTAATTACTTCAAAAAAACTCTTTAGTACGCCGTGGCTGTCATTTGCAAATTTTGTGTTCTCTTTCGTGATACCGATGACATTTAACAGTGGTGAATCATATTCGTCTATGAGTATTACCACTTGTCTATACTTATTTTCATTATCGTCAGCTATTGACTTAATTAATTTAAAAGTGGCACTCTTAACATTATCATTCACGGTGTCGATGCCATATTGCTCTCCAACCGATTGTAAAACTCGAATCAAGTCCTTTTTTAACACTTCGGGTCCTTCATCTGATGTTAACAAAGAAAAGTCAAGCCTGATGACTGGTATCGGAGGCAAGTTCTCATTCCATCTCTCTGCTTTATTATTGATAAAAATGTTTGGTGGATGATCTCGTATGTACAGATTCTCAAAGAGATTATATTGAACCAAGTAGAAAGATTCAACCATTGAGAGAAACATCGATTTGCCAAATTTTCGAGGCCGTGATACGAAATATTGACCACTATTTAACTCAAGCCGAGTTAACCATTCCGTTTTGTCTACATATAATTTATGATACTCGCGCACCCTTTTGAACTCTGATTCTGACACGGGGACCTTCTGATCTTTATTACTCAAACCTTGAATAACAGATGCTTCCTTAGGATTTTCTTTCCAAAGGCGCCTTTTTTTCATTGGTGGTTCTTTGTGAGAGAATGGGGAAAAAATAGAAAGAAAGAACGAGCTAATTAATAAAAGATCCGCGAATTTCTTGTTCGAATATTAGCAAAAAAAAACAATCAATAGAATAAAAAAAAAAAAAAAATATGACAATATTTATTATTTCTACAATATTCACAACAATGCTTACCTTCACCTAATAAAATATAAAATGTTGGAGTATAAGGAATGGAAAAATAAAAGGCACAAGTCAGTTTAATATCACTCAAACAAATAATAACCGAAATGGAATGAACGGAAGGTAAAATTTTTGTATATTTTTTTTACGCAATTTGTT